TGTTGGGGGCAATATGCTGACTCTCTGTAAACCGCTTAGAGAGGGCTGAAAGCCCTATGAAGCGGTATATAAGTCTACTGCTATTGCTATATATTTATTTTGCTCAAATCAACCTTCCACATCCGTCCCAAAATGTTTTTTTCTCTCTCTCTCATCTCCATCCAGATATTTTTCAGCAAAGGCCGAGTGGTTTAGTGTTGAAAAAGCCTTGCAACATTCAACTTTTTCTTGTTGATCAGAAAGGTCAGCAGTTCAGGTCTCCTGCGTGAGTAGGGGGTTGGACTAGATGACCTCCAAGCTCCCTTCCAACTCTGTTACTATTTACTGCTTACTGCTAAACCGTGTAATGCGTTAAATGTCCTGCTTTCTTCTGAAACGTTTCTCTTTTTGGATTTGTCCGTGGTTGGCCTACTGGGGCTCGAAAAGCTCAATAAATATTATGCTGGCAGGGGTGGCACATTGGCGGTTGGGAGATATATTTTGAGCATCAGGGAGCCGCAAAAGAGCCACATGCGGCTCCGGAGCTGCAGGTGGCCGACCCCCTGCTCTAGCTGTTTGGATATCCAAAACTGAAGGCAGCCGATTTAGTACATCATCAAGGGAATCGTTCAGCTTTTCCGTTCATTGAATCAAAGGTATAATTATTATTTTTTAAAGTGATCTATTCAAAGCGATCCTTGAAAAAGTGGGGAACGATCCCCCCTCCAGCGTTAAATCACACCCTAAATAGGGAGAGCCCATTTATTATCCCACTGCCATTAAAAATAAAAAAAATGAAATCATTGGCATCCTACAGTGTTTCTCAACCGTGGCAACTTGAAGATGTCCGGACTTCAACTCCCAGAATTCCCCAGCCAACTGGCTGGGGAATTCTGGGAGTTGAAGTCCGGACATCTTCAAGTTGCCAAGGTTGAGAAACACTGCTTTAGAACAAGAGGTCTGCAAACTTGGCCACTTTAAGACTGGTGGAGTTCACTTTTCTTTTCTTTTCTAAGGTGGTGTTATAACTTTTAAGGTGGTGTTATAACAGGAGGAAGGGATGGTAAACAAAGCAACCCAAACTGTATATTATGACCTATTAAATGAAATAATCAATGTATAAGAATGATGTTAAAACACCTGTAACCAAACGACATGCTGTATGTGATGATGGGGTTTTTCCTCCCTCTTTTGTGTGTTTTTTTTTCTTTTTTCTTTTTGTTTTTTCATTGTTGTGTGTATGTGTTGTTTATGTAATAAAAATAAAAATACAAATTAAAAAAAAAAAAGACTGGTGGTGTTCAACTCCCCGAATTCTCCTCCACAAGTCTTAAAAGTGGTGAAGTTTGGGGACTCCCTGCTTTAGAGGTTCCCCCGCCTGGGGCCACATCCGTTGTGCCGACTGTGTCTCATAAAATCCACAACGAGCTTGGTCAACAACTGTCGGCTTTAAAACAACAGTGTCCGTGGGTGTCTTATCAAAGGGGTGCGGAGCAGGGACACGAAGGTTTAAAGAACTGTTTTGGTTTCCGGTTCAAGTGGAGACCCCGCTGAGCGTGGGGGAAATCCGTTCTTTTTCCGGCTCGGTGGGAGAGTCCGTGTCATCCTGATCGTCCATCCCCACAATGTAACACCGGGGCAGCATTTCTTCCAGGAGAATCCGAATTAACAGCGGGTGAGAAACAGAAGGGAGACTGGAGACATCCAGGCGTTCCAAATTCCTGCAAGAAATGAATACAGGGATTTTCCCGTTGCTTCCATTGATACTCCCCCCCCTTTTTCTGAAAACATAAAGATTTCATTTTTATTTCTAGCCTTAACTGTTTTTAGCAATAGCTCGAGGTGGTAAAGGGACCTGATATGACTTCTTCTTCCTAATTTCCCCCACAACAACGACCCTGCAAAGTGGGCTGGACTAAAAAAAAAGGATTGGCCAAACTCATCCAGCTAGCTTTCATGCCTAAGGGAAGATTAGAACTCGCCGTCTCCTGGTGATTGGTCAAAAGTCACCCAGTCGGCTTTCATGCTTAAGGCGGGACTAGAGTTGAAGTCCACCAGTCTTAAAGTCGCCAAGGTTGGCTGAGGGATTCTGGGAGTTGAAGTCCACCAGTCTTAAAGTCGCCAAGGGTGGCTGAGGGATTCTGGGAGTTGAAGTCCACCAGTCTTAAAGTCGCCAAGGTTGGCTGAGGAATTCTGGGAGTTGAAGTCCTCAAGTCTTAAAGTTGCCAAGGATGGGCTGAGGAATTCTGGGAGTTGAAGTCCTCCAGTCTTAAAGTCGCCAAGGTTGGCTGAGGAATTCTGGGAGTTGAAGTCCACCAGTCTTAAAGTCGCCAAGGATGGAGGAGGAATTCTGGGAGTTGAAGTCCACCAGACGTAAAGTCGCCAAGGATGGGCTGAGGAATTCTGGGAATTGAAGTCCACCAGTCTTAAAGTCGCCAAGGATGGAGGAGGAATTCTGGGAGTTGAAGTCCACAAGTCTTAAAGTCGCCAAGGTTGGCTGAGGAATTCTGGGAGTTGAAGTCCACCAGTCTTCCAGTGGCCAAGGTTGGAGATCCCTAAAGCTCTAAAGTTCCTTTCCAACTCAAGGACGCAATGACTCGCACTACCATCTAAGGCGCTTGGCGCTCCCTGGAAAACCCCCACCTCTGCTTCTCTCTCTCTTTCCCCAAACCCTGGAGTGAAGAAGCCTCCCTGGGATGCAGACCCTCTGCCCCTACACGGCTGCACTTACTCAAAGTGGTGGAGGCAAGGCAGCCCTTTCTCCGTGATCCGGGGACAGCCGGCCAAAGACAAAGTCTGCAGGGTGGAACCAAAGGGGTGCAGCAGATTCAGGCACCAGTCGTCGATGAGAGGGCATCTGCTCAGGTCCAGATGCTTCAGGCCTTTCAGGTTTGCTGTGGGGGGGGATCCAGGAGATTGGGGGAGATTGAAGACGGACACGGGATTATTATTAGGCGCATTAAGAGGAAACGACTGTAGAAAAACACAATCTAGCAGGGATGGCCCACCATTTTTGCCTAGAGTGCCAAAAGCACGCGATCGTGTCCACCCCCATAATTTAACGCCTCCCTGCGCTGTACCCCCTGCGCATGCGTTAATTCCCACCCACCCCCACTGCTCCATGCATGCACGCACAGCTTTCTTGGAGCCTGGGGAGGGGGGGAAACGGCCTCCCCCTGACCCAGAGGCTCTCCGGAGTTTGGAAACGCCCCATTTTCCGACTTCCGGTGGGCCCAGTTTTTCGGGGCCCCCCCCAGGGCCCAGAGGCTTTCTAGGAGTCTCCGGAGGGCGAAAAACCACCCAACGCACAAACCGGAAGTTCGGGAACGGACTTCCGGGTTGCCCATTGGGCCGTTTTTCTCTCTCTGGAGGGTGAAAAACAGCCCAACAGAAACCAGAAGTCCATTCTAGGACTTCTGGTTTGTGCATTGGGTGGTTTTTCGCCCTCCGGAGGCTTCATGAGGCTTTCCCGGAGCCTCCAGTGGGCGAAAAAACGGCCAAAAACCAAAACCAAAAATCAGCTGACCAGCACTCGCATGCGCGCTGGAGCTGACAGGATAACGCTTCGTGTGCCCTCAGAAATGGCTCCGTCTGCCACTTGTGGCATGCGTGCCATAGCTTCACCACCACGACAATATATAATGTGACACATAACAACAGCAGCCAGAATCATACATGCGCAAAACTGACAGAATGGTGATAAAAGTGTTTGAATGTGCAGAGATGGATAGGCTAACAATGGAAATAAAAGAAAGAGGAGAAACGGAATATGATTTGGGACACATTTGGTATAATTGCTTAAGATTAGAAGCAAAGATCAAGAAGGTTCCAGTAAAGGAAGATGCAATACACACAATGATATAGTTATAATAATAGCACACTGTATAAAATAGATACGTACATAAAAGGAAAGGAAAAACATAAGGTAAGTAACTTGAATGTATGTACACATTTAAGAGCCGAGGTGGCNGCATACAAGACAAATAAACTAAACTAAACTAAACTAAACTGTCCAGAATTGGTTATAAGATGGATAGTTCTAAAAAAATGCTTTTAATAAATACTTAAATAAATTAATGAATTGAATAAAACTAATTTGACAGCAAACATTTCTATGCAGAAGGGGAAAATTACAGTACATCTGCCTTAGAACTCTAAGGCATCTATGTTTCAGCCAAGTTTTTAATATATGTTCTAAATGAAGAACTATGTGGAGAAAACATATTTTAATAGCCAAATTGTATCAAATTTCAAATTAAACGGAAAGGACAGCTGGAGAGCTGGGAGGGCCAAACCCCCCTCTTCCAGAATCCTCTTGGTCTTCATATCTGGCCTCACCTCTAATATTGTAATAGATAGAGGGTCCTTTGTTCTCTCTGAGCTTCATTGCTTTCTTGCAGACATTTCATTACCAAACTAGGTAACATCCTCAGTGCTAGCAGGAAGTAGAACATGCTCTTTTTTTGCATACCAATGGCTTGCACTGTCCATATTGGTGAGAGTGTTCTTGCAGGTCCCTCGAATGAGGTGTTATTTACTGTTGCTTTGTTTTATGGTTCCTTGGTTGTGTATTGTTTATTTCTTGATTGTTGGTCTAATGTTCATCTCTGGTCCTAAAAGTGTTGGTTGCTGGTCTTGTTGGCTGGTGAGGAAATGATTTGGTCTTTGTGCTTCCTTTTTGCCTTTTTGGTTGCCTCTTCTGAATGGTAGATAGAGGTTGTTTATCTCTGTCAGAATGAAATCAGGGGATTGTGTTGGTCTCTTTAGCTGTCTCACTGTCACGTTTTATCTTCTAGGAATGCCTCCTTGGGTTCTCCTAATAGTAGTGGGTCAGGGGTGGGTTTCACATAATTTCACCACCAGTTCGCCGCGTAACTGTGACCACGCATATATGCACAATCACCTCATGAGCATGTGCACCTCCTGTGCCTGCGTGCGGCCTTCCTTGCATGTGCTTTGCTTGTGTGTGTGGCTTGCACACCTGCACGTGGCTAAGTTGGATGACATAGAGCCAGGAGGTGTGGGCCTACAGGTGGCTACTACCAGTTCGGAGTCCGTACCAGCTGAATACCACAACTGTAGTGAGTGTACACCTTTATCTCCATCAAAGTCTCCTCATAGAGCCGAGGTGGCGCAGTGGTTAGGGTGCAGCACTGCAGGCCACTTCAGCTGACTGTTATCTGCAGCTCAGCGGTTCAAATCTCACCGGCTCAAGGTTGACTCAGCCTTCCATCCTTCCGNGCGCTCTTGCCTCACCAACGGTATCCCTCACCGCACGTCACTGAACACAATAGGGAACAAGTAGCTTCTGTAAAAGGGACCCTACATATGTATCTAAATAAAAACATGTCACTTTTAGAAGAAAACAACAATCAAGAGCAAAGTTCCTATCAGTCCACTCAAATGAATCCCTCTGGAACTGAACAATCGCTTTCATAGCCAGCCCCTGGAGGAAAATATGCATACACCCACAATATATCATTCATCTGTAGTTTCTAAAAAAAGAGACAGGATCCAGCATTCCTGCAACAGGAAGAAAATTACTCCAGACTTCCCTAGGGAAAAAAGGCAAATATTGGTGATAGAAGATTCAATTCTTAGGGTAAAAGAAACTATAATCTGCATACCAGGCAGTCAATCTATGGAAGTATATTGTGTCCCTGAAGCAAAATCAAAGATGTACATTACCTTACTAAAATAATCAACCCCACAGATTACTAGCCCTTTCTTCTCCTACATGTAGGGACCAATGGTACAATAATGAAGTTGAAAATAATAATAAGAGATTATGAACAGCTAGTGAAGAAAGTTAAAGAATTAGTAGCACAAGTGGTATTTTCATTTATACTTTCCAAAAAGGCCAACTTACAATGGGGGAGCAAAGGATTTTAGAAATGAACACTGGCTTAAAAACTGGTGTCATAAACAGAATTTTGGCTTCCTAGACCATGATCTACATTACCTGTCTTAAGGATACTAGCAAAGGATGGACTGCTCTTCACAAGAACTGAAAAATGACTGGGTCATCTTATCAAAATGGCTTTAAACTAAAATTGAGGAAGAAGGGGTGCCAATCTTCATGATCTTTAGAACCTAATTCCAAGCAAAAACCACTAGATAACCAATCAAATAAGGAAGTAGAGAAGTAGGAAAAAAAAGAAATAAAAGAACATAAAGAAGTAAAGAATGATGGAAAGAATGGAAATCCCAGATACAAAGTAGAATATATACAAAATATATCCAAGACCCATAAAGCACTATACACTAATGCTAAGTGCTTATACACCAATGCTCAAAGTTTAGGGAACAAACAGGGTGAACTTAAAGTATTAGTAGTTGAAGGCAGATATGAGTTTTTAAAGAAAAGATTGGACAGTCACCTATATGAAATGATGTAAAGTCTCCTGCTTGAGCAGGGGATGGGATTAGAAGATCTCCAAGATCCCTTTCAGCTCTATTCTGATTCAGTCTTGACATCTTTTCTAAAAGAAATATGAATAAGAAATTGTCTGCTTCTTCCATGGTGTACTTGAGCCAGTTNTAGTTGGGTAATGAGATGTCTGCAAGAAAACCACCAAGCTCAGAGAGCACCAAGGACCCCACAGTCCTCCTCCTCTCCACAAACCCCACACCTTTTAGCACTGATGATGTTACCTAGTTGGGTAATGAGATGTCTGCAAGAAAACCACCAAGCTCAGAGAGCACCAAGGACCCCACAGTCCTCCTCCTCTCCACAAACCCCACTCCCTTCTAACACTGATGATGTTACCTAGTTGGGTACTGAAACATCTGCAGGAAAACCAACCAGTTCAGAGAGCACCAAGAACCTCGCATTTCAACCCTGAGCCACACTTAAGTGGAAAATCGCCCCCATCCCACCCCACCCCACCCCACACACGCGATTAAAGCGTAATGGAAAGCAAACCAACCAGGCATATTTTGGAGGGTGGGGTGGAAGCAAGCTTTGGAGAGCCAAACCGGGTTAGCCGTTGCACATTTGCGAAAACTAGAACCCGCGCCGAGCTGCAATTCGCGGGATCCGCACCTCAACCCATTCCTCAAGCAACGGCCGGCAAGATCCGTGCAGCGGCTACCGGCGTCTGTCTCCTCCAAAACGAGAAGGCAGCGCCTGAAGGCTGAAACGGTCTCCGCCGCCGCGCCTTTGGGTTTCCCCCTTACTATCAACCGATGCCAGACCACCTAGAGAGCCCGCCTCCTGGCTCCCCGAGAGGCCGACCCCCCCCTAGCCTCCACCCCCGCGCCCCCAAACCTCCTTTCCCTGCAGTGCCCCTCGCTTAGACCCCCCCAAGACCCAAATGGAGCGATTCGTGCGTAAAAGCGCACAAGCGCCTTTGCGCAAAAGGGAAGGGAGAAAGGGTGACTGGGACCACGGAGGCGGCTGGGGGGTGGTAGTTTGGGAAGGGGAGGCAAGGGAACACGGGTGGGGGATCCGGGTGGGGTCTCTTCCTCCCTCCCCGGCCTCCGTTTGCACTCCGGCCCAGGCGCATGGGATGTCTCCCCGACGGCCAGGAGACGTCAACATCGGGCAGGGGGCCCTGGCAGCATGGGGCAGGGGGTCCTGGCAACGTCGGGCAGGGCGCGGAGTGTCAGTGGGTCCCGCCCGGTCCCCGTGCCCCCCCCCGGCTCACCATGACCGAAAAAACGAAGGCGGCGATGTTGACGGGATACGCGGGGCAGAAGCAGGACAGAATGCTTAGCCACAAGTAGTTCTTGGGCGGGGGGCGCTGCTCCTCTTCCTCCTCGGGGCCAGGCATCTCCTCGGCGCCGTTCAGCTGGAGCTGGGCGCCGCTGCCGCTCTTCTCCAAGCCCCTCTTGAGGTCGGAGTAAGCCGGGGGAGGCGACGAGCCCGCCATGGGGAGGGAATTCGCCGGAG